CATTTATGTATACATTTGTCTATATCTATCTCGATTCGTTTTGGCTGTTACAAACAACCGTTATGTGAACAAAATTAATATACCCTTGTGCACAAGTGCGCTCGGGTATAAAAAGCAACATCAAATAAGTATAGGTATATGGAATCAGGGAAAGCTAAATCGTGGACATTCTTAATCAAATATGCTCTATCACTTTAGCAGAAAAAAATGCTATAGATATAGCGAAGCATTTGTTCAACCCCTTCAACTTCGTTCTATCGAGGTTTCATTGTGCACTAGTTCGTCATTCTCAATACATTTGCTCAAAATGCGCCATTCTAGTCTGGCGAAAGCCGAACACTTGTACAAAAAATGATCTGAACACTCCTCATGCTCCAAACAAGATGTACACAATGGGATCGTCGATGACACCTATGGTGCCATATGCCGCATAGTGTTTCGTCCTCATATAAGCTGTGTAACTTGTAAACGGACCCCGATTTCACTGAAATTTGGTTTATGCTGTACTTTGACGTATGTATATCCTTACTAATATTATAAATCCGAAAGTGAATTTGTTTATTTGTTACGCTTTTCCGCTTTAACTACTCAACCGATTCCTGTTAAATTTTGTACACTGTTGCCATTTAGCCTAACTTAAAATATAGGATAGATTTAACGTCGATTATACGAGGGAGCACCTCCTATACAATCTTTCATACCGCATATCATATCTCAGAAAATATTTTTGATAGAGTAAAGGAACTTGGTACTAACACATATATGTATATAAAATCAATTCCATACTCATTTTATAATATTTATAATTTATTTGAAAATTATATTAAAGAATGGATGACAAGAGGCTTAAAAAAGTTGTAGTTTGAAAGTATTTTGGAAAGGGTTGCCACTTCTTGGAAAAGACAATTTAAATTAATTATTAGCAAGCTATCTGAAAAATTAATATATGGGTGCCAAATGAAAGATTGCTAAGAAACCTTCAGATTGAATATTTAAAATATTACAGCGGTGTTTTACAACCGTTGCCACCCGTGTAAAAATTAAATTCATTTAATTTAAATGAATTACTACAATATGGGTATCAACCGAAAGCTTTTTGATAAGGGTACACGTAGGTGGGTTGCCACCTGTTTGAAAAATCAAATTCTTCTTGAATTAAAGGAATTTGATAATTGGAATACGTATCACAATATGGACGTCAGACGAGAGGGATTTAATAGGCATTTAATAGGAAAATATTTCGAAGAGGGCTGCCACATGTTTTAAAAGTCGAGTTTAAATTAGAAATGTTTAGCTTGAACATGTAGAGTTTTCTGAGATTTTTGCAGAGGGTTGCCACCTGTTTTAAGTCTAAATTCCAATACAATACAATACAATATTTTCGCATATTTTAAGTATGTTGAGTTTAATTAAAATAAATTACACATAATGTAGCAAGTAGAAATTTCATACACTCAGCGAAGCAGGTGAGAGCGATCTAGTATTAATATATATTTTTGCCACTTACACTTTTTGCTGAGTGTTTTCTTCTCCTCCAGTTTCGAAACACCTCGTGTTTTATGTTACGAAATTACGATGTTTGGAACCATTAGAGTTTTTATCGTTATCCACTATTTAGTTCGTCGAAATTATAGACCCCGCTGAAGTTCCTTTTTCCTATTTTGGAAGCGTCAGTTCGGAAGAATTAAATCAAAAAAAAAGTGGTGTACCTAAAGCACGCCGCAGGAGTAGTTTTGCTTTATTCATGCATTTCGTCTCTCAATTGAAATTTTTTTTTACATTTTACTACAAAGCGTCAAATTGTGTTTACCTGTGTTGACATTTTATAGAACAAAATCGACAATAAAATGTAAGCAGTTTTTTTTTCCCCCGGTGCTATTACCTCAATGTGGCTTGATGTGTACCTAACATTTTGTTTCATTTGGTAAATCCTTAAAATAAATGGTTTGCTTCAACTTTTATCCTTCTGACACTTTTTAGCATAAGTTTTGATGGCAACAATATACCAACACGCAAATATCAAAGTGGTGGAAAAATTGATTAAATGCCAATGAACTCATAACGATGCTCAAAATTACAATGATTAATTTAACATGAAAGAAAATGTTCATCCAAGGAAAAGGAAAACGTAAGCAAAAAATCGATTAAAGTATGAAGTTTACTCTACTTTTAAAGCACTTAATGATTTGAGAGTGAAAGTGCTTTTTATGCGTGTAATTTTCTTCCCATCTATATGTACATACATATGTACGTGTGCACGTACCTCCATATGTATATTTACATACATACATACATATGTACATAGTTTGTAGTAACTATGCGCCGATTAAAAAAGTCGAGTTGAACTAGAAAAGCACATTTACTTGCATACCTATTTACATTGGTCATTAAGGATGGAGAGATTGGCGCAGTAAAGCACAAAGCAATTTCCGTATTATTTGAATTACTGTTTGCATTTCTACCAGATGTGTAGGCCAGGAGTTCTCTCTGAGGGGAGTTTGGCATGAATAAGCATTTGATTGTATTTTATCGTGAGCTCTTTGCACTAGTGCAAACGGGTGAAAATTAAGGGGGATCCATAGGAAACTCATTTTTTGAAGGCTGTGAGACCCAGGGTGAATGACCTTAAGCTCGCGAAAGCCCCGCTGAAAGGTCCTGTGATAGGTCCTCTTCATGATCTTCAGGGCAGCTGTCGCAAAGGGGAATTGAAGTTATGAATTTAGGAAGGAGTTTCCGCCATTTATTGTGAAATTTTAGGCCAGTCAATATAGCACTTAAGGCGGAAAAAATTCCGCACGGGATAAATTAGCCTTATCATGACTTTCATTTTCCCCGAACCGGTTCACTTTTCACTCTTGGTTTCCATGGTTTTACTATGGGCGGATAACAAATTTGAGTATACTTTTTTCAGGCTTACCGCATGAATTTTCTATAACTGCCTCCGGAGCCCTTACGGTGGGCAGATCCTTGCAAAAGTTTGTGATGAAGTATCTACTCCATGCCTGCTAAGCTGAATTGTTGCCCATCTCTCCAGGAACACATCACAACTGTCCAAAGGAGCCCCCGCAAGCTCTTTGCAAGGAGACGCATCCTCAAAGATGCCTTGCTCCGTCAGTTGATTAGGAATGTATGTATATTTCTGCAATAATACTAGGATCGGATATCTATTAATAACGACGTCTTCTCTGCAAATTTTCAAATATAAAATAGCTGTAGAAATCACATTTGATTCGAATGATTTGAACTACAAAAGTAGAATGATTGTTAGTTCTCAAGATCTGAGGTGGACTATCTTTCGGAACTAAAGAAATCTACCGTAAGAGTTCTCATCAACATAAAGCCCAAAATACAATAGCGCTGTGGCAGTGGCAGTGACAGTCTCCGCAGTCTCAGGATAACTGTATTTACTCTAAGATTCCAGAGTAAGGGACAGGAAACTCCTGATTTAAGGATACTTCTCGTTACATATCGAGTTATGGACGTCTCTGACGACATAGTAATTCTCTCTCAAGAACGAGCCTTATTAGTTCCACAAGACGACATTCCAGCTGCATTTGATTAAGTGATCTGACCACGGAATCTGGAAAGGTATGGTTAAAGACACCTTTCAAATATGTTAAGAAAGATTCCCAAAGTAAATTTTGAACACAATTTCATGTAGCGCAGTCTAGACAGATTTGTCATTAAGAATAAGCATATTGACATTCCGAAACGTCCTTCGACAGAAGATGTTGTGGGATATGAGCGACGAGCAGGGCCCGAACCGCGGCATTCGTGATCGAATGATTACTCGTTTCGATTCGATTCAAACAAAATGGCAGCTGTTTTCTCCAAAATACAATTTAAATGGGCGAAGCACACTCGCTATCGAATGCCATAATTGCGCTAGATACCGCGATTAGAGCCCAGAAATTCCAGGATTTTAAGAAGAAAGGAGTTAGGACTTATTGACCTGAAAACGTTGGGCTTTACCTGAGAGATCCTCAGGTATAAAGTTTAGCCTACACTTGGTTCATGGCTAAGTTTAAGGCATGCCTTGAAGGTGTTAATATGTGCATAGGACTTTAGCTTATAGCCCAAGATGCCGTGGTAGGCTCCTGAGGACTTTAAAAAAACTTAAGCTGCAGAAGAAGAAGAATGTCAAGCTCAATGTAACTCTACATAATTTACATACTGAACTGGTTTAAAATTCTTAAGACCAACTTAATTCCACCCCTTTCAAACCTCGAACTTCATTTAGGGTGCGCTTCTGTCGTCCATTTGATTTGTGTTTGTAAGTGTCTAGTATCGATTACCATTCCATCAAAGTAATCTCACGCGGCTATATACTACATCTTCAAAGCACTAAAGGAATGGTGTATGCCATTTTATGATGAACACAACTCGTCACGACGTTGAGCCCATTGCACTTGGTACGTACGAACTTCAATTCCATGCATACAACCATACATACATACGTATGTACATTAGGGTGGTGAAAACAAAGTAATGTCAGAATTTTAATGCTATCACCCTCTTGTATTGTTCTATATGGAAAAAAAATCTAAATTTCCGATGTATTTTTATATGCGAAAAAAAAAAACAATTTTTAGTAGAAATGGTATAGAATCCGTGAAAGTCACAATTTCTCAATCGACAGACTTTGCATCTCCTCAGGAAACTTCAAAGAATAATACCCAATTGCTTATTTAACTATTTTTTTAATATCAATAGGTTACCCTAAAACCTAAAAAAATGCAGTGGGGACCCATACAAATAGTTCATATTAAAAAATGGTTCAATAAACAACTGAGTATAATTCTTTGAAGTCTCTAGAAGAGAAACGGATTGAAAAATCTGATGATTTTCAAGGATTTTGTACAATTTCTACGAATAATTGTTTTTCCCCACATGAAAAATACATTGCCAAATTTGGGTGCTTCGAGCGATCTCTAAAAATTTTTTGATTTCAAAAACAAAATAATAATAATAATACATTGGTATATTTTGGTTGGATATAGAACAATACTAGGGGTGAGACCATTAAAATTCCGACTTTCCTTTTTTCGCATGCATTTATAGACCACCCCAATGTAATACTTACATACATAAATAAACTTACATGAATATGGTATAAGTAGTTGAATGAAACAAAGAAAATGAAGAATAAATAAATGAGGAGAAGGTATGTAGAATAAACATGCCACACGTGCTAAAAATGCAAACCAGGTGGTGTACATATACCCAAAGCGCAGGGCCCACTAGGCAAGCTCTAGGCTATCGCAAGCGATCAGCCGACTAGCTGTTAGGCGAACGTCAGGCGCGCTGCGGCCAATTCGAAAAAAAAAGAAAAGACCTTTATAAACCATGAAAAATTTCAACAACACAGGCCTGTCAGCCAACCAGGCAGCCAGGCAACCAACAAACTCGAAGCGCTTCATTGATTTAGTTAGCAAATGAGTATCGGCCATTCGAGTTGTGAGTGTTCCACATGTGCTTAACTTGCTTGGCTTGCAGTTGAATAGCTAAACAAAACCAAAAAATTAAATTTTATTATTTAAAAGCTATAATAAAAGTGAAATATGTGGTTAATGCAGTTATTTTGATCCTTGTCTTAGTTGTTGTTGTCAGAAGTGCATAACATTGTGTTACAAACATAAATGGCTAGAATATGTACAGATGTGCGATTGTGTGCGTTATAAGTTCCAAACAATGACTGGCTGTCAGTGAGACTGTGCGACGACAATACGCGGCGGCTTCACGTGGGCGTGGGTGGTAAAGGTCGAGCGTGTAGGTGAGGGTGACAGCGGCTTACACAGCCTGAAATGTTTGAGAATCGGGTAAGTAAGTATTTAAATCGTTGAGTCTGTCAGTGAATGAGTTAGTTAATAAGTGAATTCTTGACAACAATACAAACGCAGAAATGCATATACATAGTATGTTGGTATATACATACATACATATATGAGTGTATAAATATCCCTGCAGAAAAAATTATCAATCGATTAAAATAACCAAATTATAGTTAGATTTTTTTTGCGGGATTTCGATAAATAATTAACTTTTAATTAGCTATGAAAAAACTAACTTCAAGTTAGTTGTACAGACGTGCAGGAGTCATGCAAACGTTATCGGGAGTTTGTTTACAAGTTTCAATTTAAATGTCCTCATTCAAAAATTACTTTCAATACACTTTTAATCTGCACTTAGCAGATTCTTTTTCGTAATCATTTTGATATTATGTCTGATCGAATTCAAATATGAGACCACCTACAAAAGAACATGTAAACAAATAAAGAAATATGTAAAGTTAAATAAAATAAGCAAATAAATAAGAAATATAAAAAATTTAAAAAATCTTTTTTTTTTTTATTGATAGTTTATGTCCACAAGTAGTTACATAGCCACAAGTTAGTTGACATCTAATGCAGAGGAAATGAGTTCTCACTATTTTGCGACCATCGCCCTTCAAAAGTAGTTAGTTACGACCAAAAAAAAAAAGTTAATAAATAGTTACCACCAGTAGACTGCTAGTTAGTTAATAGTTAGTTACAAACTATTCCCATTTCCTGCAGGGATCTTTCTGAACTCTGTGCATGCATGTACATATGTATGTATATGTAAGTGTTCATACACAAGTGTTTTGGTTTCCATGTAAAATCCTTTGATGGTTTTGGAACTACGGATGCCGTTGGCTTGTCATTGCCATACTGATGAAACCTTTGAGAAATGAACTTGACTCTTTGGCCTTCGGTTCACATGACGACTGACCTCACGGAGTGGTTTCACATACACAAACAACTAGATATTTACATATTTTCATACAAACATATAACGAGATTGATTATGCTTAGTACAGTAGCTGGCAAATGTGTTCGTTGGAGTGATTTATTAGTAGATAACACCGTGCGATGAAAACCAAAAAATTTTAAAACACACGAAAAAATCAATATATTCACAAAACTATATAGTATAACTTCTCTCTGGCGTCAGGACTTTTTTTTAAAGGACTTTGAAATTTCAAGAATATGATTGAATAAAAAAATTATATAAAAGATTTGGTGCATTGTAAAGTAACAATATTACAATAGTTAAAAGGAAAAGTTAAAAGAAAAAGTTCTGTAAAATTAAAAAAAAATAATAATTTTTTGTTGCACCAGGACGAATAAATGTTGAAAATGTCCTTTTAAAACTTTATCCTTGAATATCCTTGGAAATTTCCAGTATTTATTTAAAAAAAAAAATGTATGTCAAGGACTAATATGTAAACTACCACAGCCTCGAATTTCGTCCTTCCAACTTTATTAGTTTTAGATAAAAAAATTTTACACTTCTCTTTATAAGATATTTATAGTTACAATATACATAAATGAAGACACTAGAATCATTACACTGTACGGCACTCCGCTGGGTATTGGACCAAACTAATTTTTTTTAAGAGATTGAGTCATAGGTAAAAAAGTAATTTCTTCCTTCGAAGTTCGAAATAGGATCTTTGGTCAAATATTTTTTTTTTATTATTATATGTATGTAAATAACTAAAAAATTAAAAATACAGTCGTAGACCCCTTTTGCTCTTATTTAAATAGTTTATAACTTTTTTTTTGCAAACTTATATAACAGATGCTATAAGGGGGCGAAGGTCGGGTCTTCGAAAAATTAAAAATCTTATATTTCAAACAATTTTAAACTGAGTTTTAAAAAGTTGGTATCATTGTAAAAGTGATTAGACCCCCTTCTTCTCTTTTGATATGCGTATTTGTATACTTCGTATATAAAAATTTGAGAAAAAAACACTTAAAAAAATACCTTTTTCTATAAAACAAAAAACTAATTAGCAAAGAAATTACTAACAGATTTTTAAGAATTTAGTATCGTTGTAAAGGCGATTGCATATTTGCATACTTCGTGTATAAAACTTTGAAAAAAACACTTGAAAGCAAAACATTTCTTTTTTTTATAAAGAAAAAAATTACTTACGGCTTTTTAAAAAATTGGTATCGATGTATAGGCTACCTGAAAGCTTATACTCTCTTAAGCCCAAAAATTTCGTTTTATATATAAAAAAAATATAATTAAAAACATTTTTTCCCTCTATATAAACTCTAACCCCCTAGATGAAAGGCTGACTACGCCCTTGTATACAAAACAATTAAAGTATTTAAACCGTAGGTATATCATACGGCCAGTTTGTTCTTTTACATAGTTGCCACCTTGGTGCTTTAAGCACTAGATTTAGCGCTTTTTGAAACTTAAAACGCCAAAAAATATTATTTAGTGCCTAGTGCCCTTTTAGTGCTTTTTTTCTGAACTAAAATTACTTCGAGATAGTTAAACCCTGAAATAATTTGAAATATTTAAGGCTGAATTTAAAAGAATCTACAAATTTAAATGAACTAAAATACAACCATGATTGATAAAAAGCTGAAGTTGCAAACCCACCTTGTTAAATTCTATTCGCGTTGAAAATGCTAGTAGATATGCGAGTAAGTTAAGTATTTCTTTTTTTCTTTTCTAATTATTTGTACAAATTTTGTTTTTTTTTTACTACCTAAGTAAAACACATGCGGCGATTACCGCAGACGATGGAACGATGAGCTGTATGAGCTTTACAACGATATGGACATAGTGCAGCGAATTAAAATACAGCGGCTCCGCTGGCTTGGTCATGTCGTTCGAATGGACACGGACGCTCCAGCTCTGAAAGTATTCAACTCGGAACCCGCTGGTGATAGCAGAGGAAGAGGGAGGCCCCCACTGCGATGGAAAGATCAGGTGGAGAAGGACTTGTCTTCACTTGGCGTTTCCAATTGGCGTCAGTTGGCACAGAGGAGTGGCGTGCTTTGCTGAACTCGGCCAAAATCGCTTAGGCGGTTACAGCGCCAAAAGAAGAAGAAGAAGAAGAGTAAAACACATCGTTTCTTGGTGCTGAATCCAAATCTGGCCATCGGTTTTTAGCGATATTTGAGGTTATATAATGAAAACATCAAATTATTTGCTCATTTCCAATTAGGGTATCATTTTCGTTTGATACGATTCGATTTTTCTTTCTCGAGATATACCAGTTTTAATATGCAGTACTTCGGTATTATGTTATGAAAAAAGCATCCCTTGATTCAAAAAAATTTGCCGCTTTTAGTGTGTAAAACGCTTTTTTTCCAAGTTTTTGGTGCATTTTGAAAATCGAACGATGGCAACACTGCATATATGGTTCCATATTAATGATTCCAGTATCTGCATTTATGTATATTTTAACTATCAATATCTAATAAAAAATTGTAGTTAAAAAACTAAAAACACGCTTTTATTACAACAAGAACTAAAAAGTATAAAATAATTTATAGATATAGCGATTCCGTTTAAGAAGAATAGGAATTTCCCTAGCTTGATTTAATTTAACTTTTTTAAATTAGCTAAAAATAGGGTTAAAGTG